TATATATATATATATCTATACATTTTTGTTTCGTTTTAATATTTTAATGCATCAAGTTAAATTAAATGAAAATGAAATATGTTGCCTTAGCAACTAAATGGAGAAAATAAGTTTAAGGTTTTTAAATATTTGTCAGTTAATGTTTAATTTATTTAAAGGAACGAAATTGTTTTAGTTTAGTAATTTATAGTTTTATTTAACTTACAGTTTTAGTTAAATACAATAACCCTGCCACCTATCTGAATAATGCGGGGAAAGTCTCCTCCTCAGTATCTATAGTTATTATAGCCATGATTCAACTTACTTTTCGAAGTAATTTCCCAATTTAAATACTAAAACTGAAGATGTATTCTTGCCCTTTTATGTACACCTGATCAAAACTGTACTGCTGTGTTGTCTATATAAATAAATAAATATATGTACATCTATATATACATTATTCTCATTATGATTCAGTGCATGCACATTGCCAGACATTAATAATCCAACAGACTTCATTATTTACTTCAAATAAACAAACATCATTATGTAACAATCCGTGTTTCTGTGCGACACTGAAACGTTTGTCTCGAAGTCCTTCGGGACATTTTGTCCTGCAGTCAAATTTAATCTATCATTATCTACCCAAGACGACTACAGCACGATGATGTCTGATTGTCTGATTTGCTTTAGCGAGTAAATTTGTCTAGTGATTTGACGAGCAACTGCACAATTCCCCAAGATGTTTGTGACGATGTTGCGGATTGATTATGAGTCCTCTCTCTTTCTCAGCTCCGGGATTAATTCAGTTTGCCTGGCCCTGCTGGATCAAGATGGCGCTGGCAGAGGCGGGCCATTCCTGCCTCTTTTTTGCTTATTTTAGCTGCGCGTTCATTTAGAGACTTATCTGAAGATTAGTCCTAAAAACAATCGGAAGATTGGGTCACGTTCGACGTTCTTTACCTCATATAATGGACGAGTTTCTGGCTTTCCGCGAATTCAGATGATCAATCCAATCGAGTGTTTCGGTGATCGATCTCAGTGCTCAGCCTCGACGCGCCGCCATCTTCTGCTCTCTGATCGATTGATAGTGGCCGAGCGAATGTGTGGAAGTTAAGCACAAACGCGCATGCGCGAACTTTTCCTGTAATTGTTTTGACCACATGACAGCGAGCTTTAGCTATTATTAAATACACTGATCAAATCATAAGACCAGAGTGAGGAAATGTCTATAAAATAAAACGCAGTTAGGTTATGAATTGGGTCATTAATGCATTTTAAACACCACCACGAGTTACATAGCCTATTAAAATATGGTTATGATATATGCAAATCTAAGGGGTCAATTTTTAGTGCACATTTTAGTCATTAACTAAACAGTCAACCATTACTATGTCGCTTTGGGCAAAAATGGCAGGCCTACTTCTTTTCTTATTTAGGTGATTGGATTTACTTAATTAAGCTCATTAAAGTTATTACATTCCCAATTCACAATCAGATCTGTAATACATATTTATGATTTATTTTTTAAAACTCATGTAATGTTTATATAATATACGCTTTCAGTGCTGGAAAGCAGTGCCTAAACAAGCTGGTTTTCTTGTCTTAATTGGTCTGGTTTTAAAGGGGTTTGGGCATTTTCAGCTGATTAGGCTTGGGCCTATAGCTGATTTCAAAAGAACTGTAAAGAAATAATGTCTTAATATGTAAAACGGGTGCTTATTTTTTTGTATCGTGAAAAGCGCTGTACAAAATAAACTTATTTACATGCATTTGTATGTGGTACAACACAGTGACAGGTTGATGGATGACATGAAGCACAAAAATAGTATATGATAAGAGTGAATAATAACAGCCGACTCTATTTATAGAAGAAGTACTCAGAGACACAGAGTACCTGTCATTTGCTCATGATGTCCACTGTAATGGAAGTGGACATGACCCAAATCATTGACTCACAAGCTCAAAATACTCATCAAAGGTGTTCTGGTTTTATTCGGTTCTAAAACAGTGTTTTATTCACCCAACACAACATAGTTTTACAGTTAGAAAATATACCTTTTAATAACAATAACAATCAGTTCAATTAATAGGTTTCTGTTCTAATTGTTTGTCATACTTACAATGAGCTCCAAATGTCTGAGACAACTACTACTAAAATTGCTTTTAAATGCATTACAAATGATATTATCAGCAAAAAAAGTTGAGTGAAAAGTTAACTTTTTGAAAATATCTTAGTATTTGGTATTTTGGTATCCTTTTCATTTCATGACAGCAGTATTTGAGCTACATGAACTTCACAAGTTTGTTTAAAACCTGATGCTTATGTTCTCCAGCATGATTTAAATGACTCAAAGAGCATCTTGAACTTCAACTGAAGCAAGAACATCTGAGTGTTTGCAGAAAGAGCCACGTGATCAATGTAACAAATTTGATTAAGTTTAGTGACATCGAAATGCAGAATTGAAACCTTTCTTATTAATTTAAAGACATATTTTTCTTTCTTACTGTCAAAACCCTAAAATATTCTCTTTCTTTGCAGATTTAAATTGGATTTTGACTCACAGATGTTCAATGTGGTCTCAGACTTTTGGACCCCACTGTATATTGTAAGGTGATATGTATTTAGCAGGGAATTGACGTTAGCAGTGCATTTGTCTTAAATGTTTCGAATACATCTGACAGGATTAAGTTCCACTCAAGTCTAATGAGAAGAAATGAGAGAAGGTCATGGAGGAATGACAAAGCAGGACTAACCAACTATTATTAAGGTCATTTATCACAGAGAAACAGATACAGCAGGAGAGGAAAGATCTAAATTTTGATCTCTGTGCGGAACGTCTGTGCGTGCTCCAGTTTTGCAGTGTTTCTCTGTGCTTTTATAGTGAGAGTCCCATCAGCCCCTAAACATGACTTCACCGAGGTGGGGTCTACATCCTCTGGTAGCTGGCATTTATGGGTAAAAGTGTTCATCACTGTTCCATCAGTAGCAAGCTGTTGAATAAAATACATACATAGGAGAATGAATGATATTCTGAAAATTCATTTGGATTATGCAGAGGCCTGTGTCTGTTTACCTTTTCAGCATGAACTTCAATCTGATTGTTTGAGGTGGTGACAATCACATCCTCAGGTGAGAAGTCTCGGACATCCACTGTGAATTGATATGTGTCTCCCAGAGTCTTGATGTTTCCATCTGTTTCTGTTCTGTCTAAAGGAAAAAAAAATACAATCTAATATTACAGTATTATATGGCTCTCAGGATATCGCCAGCAACTCGCTCTCTTGTTTCATACAAACGCAACTGGTGCCCTCTTGTATCTCAATTATGTAGGCCTACTGTGTATAAAAAAAAAAAAACAGATTTTAGGGATCTATTAATTGGCCTATTGTAAATTGTTGCAGTGTTGTTGCTAAGCAGATTGTTTTGTCGCCGACATTGTACAGGTTTGGTCACATGTACCATTGTTTGGCAAATTTTCACGAGCCAAATCCAATCATTTCAATGCAAATCCACACAAGCGGTAATTTTGCAAGTGTGAAAGATTTCCCCACACTGATTTTGCAGCAGGTTCAAGTTGGTAATGCGGATTTGCCACGTTGACTAACGTTAACAGAAAGCTGCTTGGTTTGAAAGTGACTTTGTTTGTCAGCTGTGCTTCATCGATTCGCTACACTATCAACTATGGACCTTAATGGACTTATTAATTAGTGGAAGGGTAAAATAATATACAGCCAAGCATATAGAATTGAATCAGATCAAATCAAAATTCCCCCCATGTATTTAGACATTATCAAAGACTACTTTAATATGGCTGATTTGTAGATTGTACCACAGATTATTGCGCTGTATATTCATACTTCCCATTCATTTCTATGGTGGTCATTTTGATGAGTGTAACTTATTTTTTAAAGACCATTTAACCTTTTCTAATCATGTCCATGATTTGTGTGTATGTGTGTGTGTTCATGTAGAAAGTGCCATAAAAGTCACCAAGGTTTGCAAAATTCTGATTAAGTCACAACACAAAACATTAATTCCGATGAAGTCACAACATAAAATGTTTCTGTCTAAAATGGCCAAAGACCACCAGAGAGTTAATTAAATCTCATGCATATTACATCTCATGTACAAATGGGCATTCCTGTGCATTAATATCACTTTCTAATGATGTGCAAAAATGTGCCTTGGTGAATCTCAGACCAGCACTTCATATCCATATATATTACACTCAGCAACAGACCGCCCTTGCACTGTTAAATCATTCCCCAACAGTGAAGTCACAGCATTGGCTCTTGCCCAAAATATTCCCTAACCCTCTCTCTGCCTCCCAGGTGCCCTTGTATAGCACATTTGAACAATCTGTTGTGTTTACACATACTTCTACACGTACCAGGATGCAACTGTGAATATAAAATATATCTGCCTTGACATACACATACCACACAGACAAACAGTCAAATGTCTTATGCAGTCTTGAAATGTATATACATAAATAAATGTTCAGGCCTCATGCAAAGTCAGTATCCACTATTTTATCTACAGTCATTGAAAGAGAAGGAAATGTAATTAGAATGTGAATATAAACAGTACATTCAGATTCACACCCAAGACAAATAACAGTTTTTAACAAGCTGTTTATTTTACATTAGGCTGTACAGATCCATAAAGAACTGGAACCAGGCTTAATAACTCACTTGGAAATCCCAAAGCATCTTTTGGACACATGAAAGATCCAAAGTCCTCAGCGAAGAGTCCTCGGCTCTTCTCCATGTACGGGTTTGTTGAGGTTGAGGATGAAGATGAGGAGGATGTCTGGTGGAAACTGCGCTCCGATCGATAGGCAGAGGAGTTGGTCGCACTCATTAGTGTTTAGAAGGTTTCTTTGCCTCAAATTGATATCCAGTCAGAGCTTTGAAGTGATACAATGAGCACCGAGTTAATAAATAAAGTAGTTTTGTGCTGTCCTTATTCAAAACGCCGTATGAATCCACTCTCAAGCCTCAGAACCTTTCTCACTGTTTGTGTTAGGTCTGGTGTGGCTTTTGTCTGTCTGACTGTCTTTTATATGGTGGGTCTAGCCTGAGAGTTTTTACTTCTATGTGTGTGTGTTAATTGTGGGATGACAGTGTGCTATAATTATCCTGTGAGGGAGAAGGGCTCTGTGGTCGGAAAAGTTTTGTGTGATGAGGGTTTGAGGTTGAGAAAGGGGCTCTGACAAAAACTCAAAGATAGGAAAGGGAGAGAGATACAGAAGGAGAGAGAGGGGGGTTGAGTCAACAGCTGACATTCCAGACACTCGCTCCCTAAAATAGCCATTCCCTTCCTCTCTCGTTCCGTGTGCTCTCCATCCATTTCTCTCCAGCCTGCCATCCACAGCAATTTGCTGTGATTTGCAAACGCACTCTCACAAGAGGCGTCAGAGGCTGTCAACCAGAAAATTATAACACACGACCCAAGGGTGTTCATCATCTCTGCATAAACAACAATGCTGAGGAATGCAAGTTCAGACAGTGGGTTAACAGAAAGATGGAAGGAATGTTGATGAGAGTGTGAAGTTGAGGGACAGATGACGTTAGGAAAATGGATTAGGAGGCATTTGTTTTCGAAGGAGAGTTGTTAATAATAGACAATTTGGTGCTGGTTTACTCCTCATTACAGAAATTTTTTTTTCTCTCTCATTTATATGTGCAGTTTAATGCACTGATTTAAAATTATAATTATAATTGATAATAATATAATTATAATTATTTTCATGTTACGGTCAATAACCGATCGATGGCAAATATTATAATTCTATCAAATTTTGTGTAAATAAATAAATAAATAGTCCTAAAAGTGAATTTTAGGCATCACAGCATTATAATGTACAATATGAAAAATGGATATTGATTTGCTAAAGATTGCATTTAACAGTGTTATTAAATTATTAGTGATTTTGATATTGCTCATCCCTATAGTGTTAAGATAATTCGGCCATAAATGAAAATTACATCATTATTTACTCACCCTCATGCTGTTCCAAACCTTCTGTGGAACATAAAAAAATATATTTTTGGATATTTGTTTAGTTATTGTTTGGTTAACAATATTTTTCAAAACATCATCTTTTGTGTTCCGCAGAAGAAAAGTTTGGAATGACATGAGGGTGAGTAAATGACAGAATTTTCATTTTTGGGTAAACTATCCTTTTTAGATGTTCATAATTGCACTTGAAGTATTGAATGTGTTCAAATGATAAACAGCATTTCTTTGGAGCCTCTGTGTTGTCCAGAACGACAAATCTAGTGTCCTCTCATGGCATGGAATCACACTATATCACTTTCAAGACTTTCACAGATTGTCTAAATCTAGCCGAGAAACTTAACTAACTCATACAGCTTGTCATTAATGTAGCTCTTCTAATTTGATTCTGTGCTGGAGAGAGAAACAGAGAGAGAGAGAGAGCAAGAGCAGGAGAGAGCCTTTAATCAGCCAACTGTATAATCGCGACTAGCACAGTTTGTCCTCAGGCTTAGTGTGAGCTCACTTCAGAAAGTTCACTTGATATCTTCCCAAGTATTCAGCTAGTTATATGGATGTCATTGGACAGCCCTCAGGGAATGGTTTTGTACTAGCATGAATAAACATAAGGGTTTGTTGAGATACATGGGCCAAAGTTTGAGCTTATATATAATAATATATAATAATTGAATCAAAAATACCGTAAAAGTGTACTATCGTGCAATATTATTGCAATTTGAAATAACTGTTTTCTATTTGAATATATTTTAAAATGTCATTTATTCCTGTGATGGCAAAGCTGAATTTTCAGCATTATGACTCAAGTCTTCAGTGTCACATGATCCTTCAGAAATCATTCTAATATGCTGATCTGCTGCTCAAGTATTGGTGCTCATCACAGGATTAAACTACATTTTTAAATATACTGACATAGAAAACAGTTAATTTAAACTCTAATAATATTTCACAATATTACTGTTTTACTCTATTTTGATGAGAATAAATGCAGCCTTGGTGAGCATAAAACACTCCTTTCAAAAAACATTTAAAAATCGTAATTATTCCAAACTTGTATATACAGGTGCATCTCAATAAATTAGAATGTCATGGAAAAGTTCATTTATTAAAGAAGCTAACGATCAACGATCCTTTCATTGTCTGTAAGTATCAAAGTATGTATATACATTACTATTGGTACTGTATGCATGTTGAAACACATATTATACAGTATACAGAGGGTCCTTGGCCTGAAAATGTTCCAATGTCCATTGCAATATATCTAGCTCAGAGAGAGAGTTTGTGTTGTGCTACACTATTTGTGATTCTGTCAGCTGCTGATCATTACATAACATAGGATTATCATTGTCGCTCAGTGTGAATTGCTTGTTTTGCTAGGACTGAGAGACAGAAGTACAAGAGCAACAGACAATGCAGCTGTAAATACAAAAAACAGAGACTCAAATTATAGTACCAAAACAAATCATACAATAATAAAGGCTGAGATGGAAAAAAATGCATTTAAATAGCCTGGTGGCATCCACACGCCTCATTCAATATGTTTTTTTTTTTTTTGCATTTGCGGCTGTCATGATTCTATAAAAACCACCGGTGTCTGGACCCATCTGAGAAAAATGAATGGAAATTGACAGGGAAAATGAACAGAATGCGTAATGACAGAGGGTAGCCGCTCATCAGTCATGGCGGGAGGGAAGGATTATTATTGTGACATTTCACACATATTCACCCTGTGATCCAGTCACTCCTCTAGGAGTAACAGATTGAGTCTGTCAGTGGGAATAAAACAATTCCAAAATGATCAGGGAGTTTTACATTTCAAATAAACTGAAAGATGAGAAAGAAAGTGCATTTAAATAGCCTGGTGGCCTCCACACACATTGGTCAATAAATACTTTTTTTTTTTTTTGGCATTTTCAGCTGTCATGATTCTATAAAAAACAACCAAAGTCTGAGAAAAACTAATTGAAATTGACAGGGAAAACGAACAGAGTGTGGAATGACAGAGGGTAGCCGCTCATCAGTCATGGAGGGAGGGAAGGATTATTATTGTGACATTTCACACATATTCACCCTGTGATCCAGTCACTCCTCTAGGAGTAACAGATTGAGTCTGTCAGTGGGAATAAAACAATTCCAAAATGATCAGGGAGTTTTACATTTCAAATAAACTGAAATTTCACCTTTTGTCACTCAAGTTTGCAATGAGGGTTGTGCCACAAATTATGGGATAAACTTAGAGAGAAAAATCCAAAACCAAAGGACATGAAATTGTATCAAGTCAATAAGATGAGTTATCTATTACTTTGTGTTTTCAGAGTGCATAGAAAGTGGTTCCATCACAATTAAAGCATTAGCCCATGCGAGCCCTCAGCTAAATTAGTCAATAGTGAAATTATATGAGCTTGTGCAACAGTAATGGCTTTATTGCACTCCGTAGTGTGTGAACAACAAGGAAATGAATAATGCATCTTGCTGTTTGTTTGAAAAGTTTAATTTATCGTCTGAGTTAGTGCTGATCATTGTGACTATACAGGTGCATCTCAGTAAATTAGAATGTCATGGAAAAGTTCATTTATTTCAGTAATTCAACTCAAATTGTGAAAACTTTTCCACGACATTCTAATTTATTGAGATGCACCTGTAATATACATTTCAGAGGGCAGGAATTTACGCAAAAAAATATATATTTACTTATATATTAATGATTAATATATTAAATTATTTATTGTATATTGTATATTGTATATTGAAAATATACAGAATAATGTATTGTGTTAAAATATTAGAATACATTGAATAATTCATAAAGAAATGCCGCTTTTCATATATTGTAATAGATGTCATTTTATATGGAATTAATAATACATATGTGATAAAATATGATAGTGTGTGTATAAATATTTTTGTATAACTATATATGAATATATAGACATTCACATTTATATGGAATATATGCACACAATTTGAATATATACAGTATATACTGTATATATATATTATATCACTCAATCCTTTTAGTTATGTCAAATCTCATTTTTTAACCCATCAGTTTGCCATGACTTTAACAAGATATACAACTGTCTAAAAATTCTAAATTGTACTATTTGTTTTCGGTGAACACTTTTTTCTTATATATCATCACACATTTTCATTTATGAAATGCATGAAAAAAAAGCTATTACATGTAAAAATGTAGTGCAGTTTTTGTCTTCATTAGATATATTTTAATATGTATCAATATAGCCATATGTGGTCCATGCATATATTGCAGTATATTAACAAATTTAAGCACTAGTTTCCCATATATGGAAATGTATTATTTCATATTTTATCTTTCAGTTTTTACCATATATTTTTGTTTCGTAAGGGACAAGAGGGTAGTAAGATGCTAATTGTGTGAAATACAGGATCCAAATGATGCATTAATGTTTTTATTGTCTGAAATAGCTTATTGGATTAAATGATTAAATTATAATATTAAGTATTTCCACACAGCACTGTGTCTGTGTGATTTTGGAAATTCTGTGTGAAATTAAGAAGCTCAGTGAAAATGAGGGATTGTGTGTGCGACATTGAGTCAAGTGAATGATTTGTGTGGTGTGTGATTGCTTTAACCTTGAATGAAGGTTAATGCAAAATGAATCAGTGCTTAAACAGAGACCATATAAGGGGGCAATCACATTCTAAATTATGCAATACATGAGAAAATCTGGGTACACATTTTTTTAATTCAGGCTTCTCTTTTCACCTGTTAAGAAATGCCGTCAGGGCTCATTAAAGCATGTGAGTGATGAGTCCTGATGACAATTCTAAAGGTCAGTCTGGTTCTATCACTTTCTGCTCTCTCGGGCTTAACAACAAAGATTCATAACACATCACAGGTCATTTCATTAACCACCTAATTAAAAGTTCCAAAAGGCCACAATGAGCTCTGTCTCAATGACATTTGTGAGATCAAAATGAATTTCAGAGAAAACAAAAAAGGAAACTTCAATTTCACATTGTTCCAATTCAGTGGCTGCCCAGAGGCAAAGCAGGAGAGGACGTGCACCATAAATAAGTTAAAGCTTAATTTTCCTTTCATGCTACATCTGGTGACGCCAGGGTAAAGAGTTGATATTGACCTCAACGGTCTTTCATGAGTCAACAGGCTGAAAGGTGAGCTCTCTTTAAAGTTTATTTTTTAGTTTTCAAGTGACTTTGGGTTGGCATTAATTCATTCACAATACTTTGGAACTTCCTAAGTATCTGTTTTGTCATGATTAGGAATAATGTGTCAGTCGTACATAATCGTGATGACATTACAATGTCCTGCTTCTTACATGGCTACTCACCAAATAAATAAATTCATGGACATGAAACCATGATTATTTTTTAATTATTTTATGATTTTTATAATTGTTTATAATTTATCATTTTTATAATTGTATAATTGTACTTATAAGAGTTCGCGGATTAATAGCATGGTGAGTGGTCTGATACAGCGTTGCCATATCACCTTATTAAGCTATTTTCTTTGAATGTGCAAGGTAAATAACTAGGAGAATACCAAAGAAAAACTTTGCTCTACAAACCAATATGTTTATGATTATGATAATAAATTAAAATAATGTGGTAACAAATGCCTGTTACCAAGCAGCAAACAGAACTGTTTTTGTATAGGTAAAATAAAGTTACAAATGGCCATGCATTGCCTCTTACAATAAAGGTACAGTTCACCCAAAAAATAAAATGTTGTCATCATTTACTTAACATTACCCTCAAGTTGTTTAAAACCTTTATGAGTTTCTTTATTCTGTTGAGAATAAAATATTATGAAGAATGTGAGTAACCAGACAGTTGACGGTAGCCATCGGCTTCCATAGTATGGAAAAAATAATATGGAAGTCAATAGCCCCTTTCACACAGTAATACCAGTAAATTGCTGTAAAATTATCAGAATGACTTTATCGGATAATACAAAAGTGCACTGTTCACACAGGCAACGACGTTCCGTCTTTTTACCGGTAAAGCACCATTCACACATCTGAAAATAAAATACCGATAAATTCTGTGACATCATTAACCAGAAATGACTTCTTAACGGCTGTGCCTCCCGGGGTTGTGTTTGTAAACATGGAGGAGTATTTGCGGTCAGTGTTTTTGTTGATGTTTTCATTTTTGTGTCAAACGTTCACATTCATGCAGCTGCTTTTGGACCAGAGACATTGTATTAGATGACTTCTATGGGATTAGATCTCTGCCACAATTCTGCGTGCGAAAGATCATATTTTGAGCGCGCAAAAGTGCGTTTTGCACGGACGCGAACTGAGTTTTGTGAAGAAAATGTTTGTCTCGCAAAGAAGAAAGTATTTAGAGCGCACAAAAATCAATTTTGCATTTAAAATAAGTTTTTGGATGTGTGCAGACCTTCTCTTTTGTGCGTGCAACGTTTCACTAGCTTGCTCACCTGATGCCCGCCCTCTGTGCTCTCTAAATGCCAACGGCTCGCTTGCTCAACACAACCCAGTGTTACAATATGCCATAATTCCAGCCAATCAGAGACCAGACTGCTAAATTCTGATTGACTGCCTTGACAACCAATCACAATATTCCTTGCATTAACTCGACAGCAGAAGAGGAAAAATACAGTGCATGCATAATTAGAATACAAGTTGATATTCTGATCATATTTTATTCCAAGCACATCTGACCAATTCCAAACGACATCAATCTTAATAACTACTATTAATCTTGTATTTAATCATTTATAATTGATATATAGTTATTCATGAATGCTGGAAGTGAAAAATGGCTTATATTCAGGTGTGCATAATTATTAAGCAGATTTTCTTTTACAGATAAAATGAAAGTCAAAAATTATTAAATGCCCATGAGAAATATTCAAAACTAATACAATACTAGAAATTTCAAAGTTAATGCCATTTTCCAGAACTGCAACCTACCTGGAGTCTCCAGAAGTACAAGGTGTCAGGTGTCAAGTATAGAATCCTAAAAAATGACCCCTACTTAATAAGAATCACATACTGAGGTGTAGTAAAATACTTGAAGATTGATTTTTTTATATATAAGCTTTATAGACAGATAAGTTGAGAGGTACTTGAAGGACCAGCACCACATCCTCTTGTACCACTGTTTGAAGAATGTATCTGCCAGAATCTGGCAGTAAGTTTTGGGAGTTAATTTTTAGTCCATCTCAAAATTTTATCTGTAGAAGATAACCTGCTTAATAATTATGCACACCTGAATATAAGGCG